ATAATAATAATAATAATAATAATAATAATAATAATAATAATAATAATAATAATAATAATAATAATAATAATAATAATAATAATAATAATAATAATAATAATAATAATAATAATAATAATAATAATAATAATAATAATAATAATAATAATAATAATAATAATAATAATAATAATAATAATAATAATAATAATAATAATAATAATAATAATAATAATAATAATAATAATAATAATAATAATAATAATAATAATAATAATAATAATAATAATAATAATAATAATAATAATAATAATAATAATAATAATAATAATAATAATAATAATAATAATAATAATAATAATAATAATAATAATAATAATAATAATAATAATAATAATAATAATAATAATAATAATAATAATAATAATAATAATAATAATAATAATAATAATAATAATAATAATAATAATAATAATAATAATAATAATAATAATAATAATAATAATAATAATAATAATAATAATAATAATAATAATAATAATAATAATAATAATAATAATAATAATAATAATAATAATAATAATAATAATAATAATAATAATAATAATAATAATAATAATAATAATAATAATAATAATAATAATAATAATAATAATAATAATAATAATAATAATAATAATAATAATAATAATAATAATAATAATAATAATAATAATAATAAATAATAATAATAACCCCGAGCAGCTTGGTCCACTATTGTGGATATCATTAATGCTTTAATCAACAGGTCCTTTGCGAGGTTGAAGGAATTGGATCTGCTACACCATTTGCTTGATTGCCTTCATCATTTGAGTTTCTGTTCTCCTGATGATCTTCTCTGACTTCAATATCTCTATCAGTAACTTCAGCTGCAGCAACATCTGCATCAGTGAACACATGCGGATTATATGGAACAATCCCACAATGTCTGAATCCATTTATAGCTGTTGAAGGCACTGCTGCTCGAAGATACGCAGCACCAAACAATTTGCTAACTTGAAATTATGATACGGTTCTTCCTGGGTTATTCTTAAGATATTTTTCGATCTCTTAAACATAAAACGTATTTAAGGGCCCCATAAATGCCACATTTGTGACTACAGTGGCGCGGCAGACATAGCGCAGTCACGAACTTATCATGTGCCATATTGATAAAATCCAAGTCTTTTGTATGTGTAACATGCCCATCTAGTATTAACAAGCAAGGGTCTTCGGCTGTAGGCTTCGCATGCTTAAGAAACTGCTCAAACAACTTACTGAAAATTTCCAGCTGCATCCTTCCTGATTTATGACAGACGAATTCAGTACCAGGTGGAGCTCCGTCCATTAAATCTTCTTTTATTCTTACTCTAGGAAAAATTATCATTGGGGGAATGAATAAGCCACCAGCAGACATGCAAACGACAACTGTTGATAAAACTCCTCTTTCTGCAGATGTGAGGCTGCCCACCTGTTTTCGGCCGTTTAGTGCAAAAATTTTGCTCGATTTAGACTGCATAGTTGTAAGTCCCGTCTCATCTACATTAAAAACCCGCATAGGTCTGTATGGGAATCGACTAATGCATTTATCTAAAAGTGCAAAAAACCTATCAACACTAGGATTATTGAAGGCTCTAGCTCGGGCCGCACTAGTAGCTTCAGGAGTGAGAAGGCTAATTTCCAGATGTCTTTTACGAAACCCCTTTAACCAGTCTTCCCCAGTAAGCTGCGTTTCTCTGTTGAAAGTATGCTTTTAAGCTGTTTTTCTCAGCTAACTGATATGCAAATGATCTAAGGTGTTTTTTAGTGACACCATAAAATCGCGTTTCCAGTTCCTGGATATGTTGAACTATTTCTACTTCTTGATCCAAAATAAAAACTGGACGAATAGCGCCTAAGACTTTAATATTCCCTTTAGCATCTCTGTTATTATCTAGAATTTTTCTTTTGAGAGTATTTCATGGAACATTATAAGTTTTATTGGCTGTTTAGAATGGCATATGTTGTTCTTTTACGGCTTTGATTGCTTGTGCCGTAGCCTCAGGGTCCCATGATCCCTAGTGTGAAGTTCTCATATACTTCCTTGGCATTTTCTAGAAATAAGTTTCTAAGTTTACAACCAATAAAAAATTGATGATGGGTTAAAGTGGCCAATCCAATATTTACAAGGGGTATAGTGGACACTTTGTGGCCACTTTAACCCATCTTGCAACTCTTGAGAAATATCATAACCTACAAAATATACTTTGCATATTTATCAATTAAATTAGATGGATACATACCTAATACCATATGTTTAGGCTTTGCAAAATCTCTCGAATTTATCAATTGCTTTGCACAGCTGACTGATCTCAACCTCAACACTACATCAGGCACGTGCAAAAACACAATTATGCAGATATCATCTGATGTGTAGATGTGATGGTTTCTATATTTCTTTCCTGTTCGACGGTAATGACGCTTGCAACGATTCAGTGTTTTACCGTACACATGGCGCTAGTAGGATAAGAAAAATTATTCGTGGCCATTTTACCTCGGGTGGCCACTATACCCACACCTCCATTACTTTTTGTTTAATTTTTTCTTCATTATTCATTGCAAACAAATTTTTATAGAACCAGAAGCGACAATTTTGACAATTAATGTGACTGTGGTGTGTAAAAGTACATCCATCAGAAAAAACAACATGTTCTAGTTGGAAAACATTGTTATCTAACATTTCCATTATTTGTTAGCAAAAATGCGTTATTCTATCAAAATCGTCTTCCATGAGCTCCTGAGTTGGTATCAATTTAGAGGGATGTATTTTCTTTTCATATTCGAGTGATTGATATATGACTAACACCATCTAATATTGCGGCTGCTTCTCAACTCAAAGTATGTGGGTTCTCCTCAAATTCAAGTATTACGTCCAAATAGATATCATTGCACAGTGAATTCGAAGTTTTTTTTAACTGCCTTATATGTCCAAGCTCTCGAAATTTGTTTTAAAGTTTACTAGTTGCCCCTTAAGATATAGGCGTCAAATCGGGAATTTCTTCGGTCTGTTTTATCGTGTTTTATCTCTGTAACCAATCATTTGTAAAATTGTTATTGTATGCATTTTTGTTAAATTAACCATTTTTCTGATCTGTAGTAAATAAATTCAAATGTATATCACTGACAGCAATTAGTATCATGCGACTACAATCACGCAGCAAGTTGTTAGGGCGTTTTAAACGAAGTTAAGAATGCTAACTATGAAGAATGTTGATACATTTTTATGTCTTTTTTGTTAATACTGTCGAAGAAGCCCAGTGAAATTATTTTTGCTTGATTTCTCATTATCAAGACCGTAACTCTATTAGTTATTAATTGTTTATGGTGTTGCAGCGAATTTCGTCGATTAGATTTAGATTAGAATTAATTTTTTGTAATGTTAATTTTCAAAATAAATTTGAAATTTTTTTAATATAGAATGAAGAGACCTTTCTACTCATCACTCGAAGGGGGCTGAAGGTGGAAGTGACATTTTTACGTTGCAAGATGTCATTTTATAATCTACAATTGAGTTGTGTTGAGATTTTATATAAACATGCACAGTAATTAAGCTAATTAATTTATTCCATTTGGCTGTTATACTCTGTATATTGGATGTTAGTATAATATCGAACTCAAAAATGTCATGAAGATTTCATAACTCAGGGTAATGTGTAAAAGTTTAAATGAAGTATGTGCCACAGGTAGGTACTCTTGCAAATCTCTTGTATTAAATAAAATATATTGCCCGCGGTATGAAGTCTAGCGCTGGCAATATGGAGACAAACGCACCGCTTCTAGAAACTACCAGAAAAAGCGGTACGTGGACGTTGAGTTATAGAGATGGAATTCTCGGACATTCGACATCGTCTAGAAACTACCGATACAGAACTGGGCTTTGTATAAATAGTGCGAGTTGCCGATGGACGGGTAGATTGCATTTATGAGTTGGACAGAAAAGATAAATTGTAATAAATAAATTAGAATTGTTATAATAGTGTCTCAGTATTATATAAATTAATTAGTACGTCATAAATAAATTGTAAATAGAGTTTTAAATAAATAAACTATAAATAAATTAAATGAACGTTACAAAATCTGTTTTTGTTTTCAAATCACATTCTGTGTGAATTCAGCCTTCTAAATTGGAATTCCGACTTACAACTCGGAATTCCAAGTTGTTTGTTGTAATTCCAAATTACAAGTCGGAATTTCGAGTTACAAGTCGGAATTCCGAGATACAAGTCGGAATTCCGAGATACAAGTCGGAATTCCGAGATACAAGTCAGAGTTTTAAGATACAAGTCAGAATTCGAAGTTACAAGTCGAAATTAAAACATACAATTCGGAATTCCGAGATAAAAGTCCGAATTTGTAAAGAAAAGTCTTCTAAATAAAATACTTTTATCATATTTAAAAGGTTTGAGGAAAACAAGTTTTTTACATTACTGAAAATTACCCAAATCTACTAGTGCTATTGCAACAAAACAATTATTTCCATAGACAAACATCAAGTCATCCTGGCACAACCATAACTTTGAAAAATAGTAGGATTGCTTTCTGTTTCGTTTTCAATGTTAGGTCTAAATTATTTTTACATTTTTATTGGGTTAGGAATTATTCATAAGAGTAGGTAATTAAATGTATAAGTCTAATAAAGTTATATTTTGAGTTCGTCAAATTTATTTATGTACAAAAATAACGTTTTTTGTTTAAAAACTGATTAAATAATTTTATTGTCCGAAGTTTTTTAAGATAAATAGGTATTATAACATATATTTTTTAAAACAATATTCCAAAGAAATATTTGGTGCGTAATATAAATGTTAAATTAAAAGAAAATAGAAACTTTGTTAGGATTACTTACGATTAATTTGATTGCATACGCAAATGATATTGAGCAAAAATACCTGGAATTTTTCAACGTGTATTTATTTAACTCAGATAAGATGTTATTGTTAACAAGATTATTATATAAAAATGGATTCAACATATAAAAATTCATAACGAACGAAGTAGTTAAACGAATCAAAATGCGCTCAATCGTAGTTCTATTATTAATTTTCGCAATTTCTGTTGCACCTGCAGTATTACCCCAAGATGAAAGTTTAGGTAAGGGAATTTTTATACGTTATATTTAAAATATTAATAAGAAACATCATAAAGAGATGTTCTAGAATCAACTCATTATAAAAAGCCATTATTTATTAAAAACCGGATGACCAACTGAAGAAAAGTACACCTACCTAGAAATTATTTGGAAAAATATATTATCCATAATTTCAAATGTGTTCAAATTTTGTCACTAAAGAATGTAATAAAAAACAATACTACATTATATTATATTTATTTGATAATAAAAATAAGTTATGTGGAACTTTTTTAGGCTTTATCAAGCCATCTTTAGGTAAAACTTTTTTTTAATTTAAAAGTAGAAAATGTAAAACATCAATGGTGTATCGGCATTTTTAGTTACAGTTTGCGCGTGTCTTCTTATTTCAGTTGCGCTTCGTTGTTTCTTAGCTGCGTAAACTTTATTAATTTGCGTTTACACGAATACAAGAAGTCACTTTGAAAAAATAGAATTACGTTTTACATCTTATCTACAAATACTAGAACAATTTACTTTCGTACTCTAAATAAATTTCTCAGTTGAACATTGGTTTTTAACGTTTTTAGAGTTTTTAAAGATAATCCAAAACAGGTGCAAAATATATTATAATAAGAGACACAAAAAATATTTTTTGGATAACTCATATAATTTTTTTTATTCAATATCATTTTCTTCACAACTGGACTCTGATTCTGACTCATCACTACTTGGAGTTGTACCTAAATTAATAATTACTGGTTCTAGATCAGAAACATCTAATTCCTTGTATTTTTTCCAATGGGAAACAATTATGTCTTACATAATTGACCCACTGAGTATCGGTAATAGTATTTAAAGCTTCTGACCAAGTCTGAAATACATCTTCCGGTGACGACTTTGTTGTTAACATTTTTTCGTCATAAAACCGTTTGCACTGTGACCACACCATTTCTGTTGCATTGTACTGGCAGTGATATGGAGCAGTTTAATATTTTATGTCCATATTCCTCAACATATCTATCTAGGTGGAATTCTTTTTATTGTAGATTTGACGTAGAACTTCCCAAATCTGCTATTTCATACCATTGATTGGATAATTAATGTTCTTTTCCTGCAACTATTTTACCATTTTATCTTTTGTCCAACTATAAGATGGAATTGGTTCCACGTACCGCGATTGATAACTGGCATTATCGATTATAATCAAAGAAGGATGTTCCAGACTAGGTATAAATTTCGTCTTAAACCATTTTTCAAAATTTTCTGTGTTAATATTTTATGGTACCTAATATCCGCTTTTTTGTCTTTTAAATATAAGATCTGCATTTTTTATAAACCCTTCTTCATTCCCACCATGGACAATTATGTATCGAATTCCATCTCCTGTTTTTTTACTTGCAGTACCCATCGTTCCAACTTGCCAACTTTTTCTTTCCTTGCTATATACCCTTGTCTCATCCATAAATACAGACATAAAGTTACTCAGCTCTATCTCTTTGTCAAAATTTTTCAAAAACGACATTTTTTTTAACTGAATCGATGTTCGTTTCAATAAAAACTATCTGTTGTTACTTCTTTTAAAGAGAAAGCCAATTTTTCGAATCCATGTATTAATTGACAGGTATTTCTGCCGAAAATCGTTTATGTAACGATTTCATTGTTACATGTTGCGCACCTTCGTACATTTTATATATAACTTGCCTCAACTTACTCAGTATTAAAAAATTTACTTTTGTTTTACTTTGGCTTACTTTTTTCACAGACTATGTGTCATAATTTGTTGGTTTACTAAATAGATAGTTTTCTACGAAATATTTAATGCCTCTTCAGCTAAGAGCCTCGAAAATAGATTTGTGGAAACTACGTTTAGGATTAAAGTTTTTGATTGATCACTAAATCGTTTCACCATTTTGTGGAATACTTAAAAAAACTTTCGAAATATCAGAATACATAAATTTTTAACAAATTGACAAATTCAAAATTATTTTGATAATTGCTACCTGACTTAATAATAACATGATGTAATTAATCCGTTTTACAATTAAACAATAAAGAAAGCGAATGGAGACTTTATTGGGTTCAAGAAATTTGGTACGTGTGTGGAATTAAGCAAAAATAAGATGGGAAAAACATACAAAAGAATAAAATTAAATAGTTAGACAATTTGCTACTGCAAGAGATTATGGTAATAAAACAAATTTTTTGTCCAAAGATGCTCGATAAAGTTGAAACTAGGATAGAAGGGAAGACATCGTCTGCTATTTTTTGTGTTTAGCTATTTTTTATGTGTGTTTAAAATATGATTTTATGAGTAATTTTAGTTGGTTTGACCTTTGTTAAAAACAATTCGTGTGCGATTTTGACCTGTAACCTCTATATTTCTCTTGATGGCATAATTGCCGAAAGTACTCGATTAATATTTTTAATTTCAATCTGGAAATAATAATATGTTAAAATATTCTCCAACTCTGCACCATTTAAACATATACTTTTCAATTTGCTCCAATTCCTGATGGTTAAGAATTAATTGAAGTAATCAAAAGTAGGTACTTACAAAATAAATAGTAATGAATAATTTACAAAATTTAACACATTACCACATTCTTTGGACAAATAAAGTACAAATTAATTTGTATAACTTTTACTTAAAAAAAGTTACGTTAATTGATTTCCAACAGTGGTAGGAGAAGACTCCACATCAGGTGGATGCAAATATCAGATATTAATATTATTCATCTCGTAATTTTACTATACGTTTGTCTGAAGGTGAATTTAAAAACGATCCAGAGGTGTGTCAATATTAAATGAACCAATTAGGCATATCCTGAGAATAAAACTAACCACACGCACTGAAGGGATATTAAATATGTATCAGCTACTTCCATAAAAAGACGATAAGGTAACAGTAATTAGAAGCGATTACTCAAAGAAATGATGGAAAATCATCGGTTGGAAGGTGGACACTTCGTCTTTTTATGGACTTAGCTTAGTACCAATATACGGACGCATATTAAAACTGGTTATTATACGTTTCTCTCTCAGCGTTTAACCCCACTCTTTTGTCCCCGCTGTTTCAAACTTGGACGTTTTGCCCCCTTACCGTTTTTAGCCAGTTACTTTAAATTATTTTTTAATTAAAATTCAAAATTATTAGCAATGCCTAACAAATAAAAAAACTTTACCTAACCTGTGCAGCCTAGAGCTACCGCGGGTTGCTTCGCAAAAAAATATATACATAAAATGAGAATAAAAAAAAAAACTTAACAAATTTACCTAACCTGTTCGGCCTAGAACTGTAAATATTAGAAAAACGGTTGGATGACAATCGGAAATGGTCGGGGTGGAACTTAATAATATTATTATGTATAACATACCTATATACTCGTATATTATTTGTTACCACTCGATGTGGATTCTTATACCACCACTGTTTGGAAATCAACAATATTTTTTTTAAGTGGAAATTATACAAAGAAATTCGTTAGTACTTTGTTTGTCTCCAAAGAATATGTAACTGCTTAGAATTTTCCCACCCGTTAATTAATATTTTTGTTTTGTAAGTACTTGCCTTTTGATTACTCTAATTCTTAATCATCAATGTAGTGTTTTATATTTCTCTTAGTCATTATTCAAATGTTTTGTTTCATATTTGTCTCATTCATTCGACTACGGTAGCGTAGGTGTCTACGGCGCCGCATTTATTTGCGAGACAATTTTTTGGTAAAGAAATACCGGCTTCAAATCCTACAGAAGACCATGTGCATTTATTTGCATGGTTCTCTATAGGATTTGATGGATGTCATATTAGCAAAAATTTAATTTTTGTTGATATGACATCCAGATTATAAAAATCGCCATGCGTTACCGTTTTCGATGATGTTGGGTGGGGTTTTCTGGGTTTTTTTCACCTGTAAGTCAAATGGCGCCATCAATCATCTTTAAGTCACCCCAGAGCGCCACGGAAAATAATAATAGTCGTCCCTTCCTCTACATAAGTCGTCAGTTGGCTTCAGGTGTTGAAATTCACTCGTAAGGGGGTGAATTAAGGAGAGTAGAGTATTATTACTATTACTATTGTTAACAAATAAGTCAAACAATTTATAGGGTGTTTCAGAATAAAGTTTCGTAAACGGGGGACTTGTAGATCTTAACTAATTAATAAGAAAAGCTGAATATAATTTTCCTGTGAATTTAACAGGGTGATTAACAAGGGCGTAGATAAGAGGGGGGGTAATGGGGTAATGGGGGTAATTACTCCCCCAAGCCATATTCAGCATCACTATTTTTAAAACTTTATATTAAACAAATATAGAAAAATAAATAAATACAATAAAAACAACTTCATTATAAAACTCATAATCTTTTTTGTCGGTAATACACACATAAACTCTAAACGTTGTATTTTGCATTGTTTCTTTATTTTAAGACAACACGCTGCGCATTTACCATGTGAGTAGCGTTACTCTCCTCCGCCCCCAAGAAAACAAGGAAACATATCATTTCCGAGATTTTTCACTTTTAATTATACTCAAACATGAAATCTGCATACAATTTTATCGAGGGCCGATTTCATAATGAATATTAAAAGGTCCATTATCTAAAGGGACCAAGATTGTATCTACTTAATAGTCCTATTATTATTATTATTATTAATGGACCTTTTAATATTAATTATGAAAGCGGGCCTTAATAAAAATTTCCATTTTTTATTTTATAATGTAGATAGATTTCATATTTGAATAGGACTAAAACTGAAAAATCTACAGATATCAACCAAGAGTCCATTTTTTGTAACAAATTGCGTAAGGAATAATTATAAATTTGAAATTTTATGAAATATAAAGCGTTCAAAAAGTTTGAATTAAAATTGTTTTCATAGCCCTTGATTCTACGCCACCGGGTTATCGTAATTTATCGAAATAGAGTGTGTTAACTAATAATGACGATTAACTAACTTATACATATTTTGATGTTAAATTATTTACCGTAAGAAAAGATATTTAGAAAATTATGTATTAATAAATTCACTTTATCACCCTGTAGAATGAAAACTGAGACGTTTTTAAGAAAATTATATTAAGCTTGTCTTAATAATTAGTTAAGATCTACAAATCCCCAGTTTACGGTAATTTATTCTGAAACACCCTGTATAATGCTTATGTATACTCGTTGTAACTTTCACCCTCTTCTCCCCATGGCCACCTCCCATGTTTATTTCAATGGAACACCTTGTATATTATTGCATTTTTCTATTCTAATTTAATATTGGATTCCAAAAATGTATAGGTACCTGGGAAGTAAAGTGAATCGTTTAGAAGTTGCAGATAATTTCAATTTAAAAAAAGAAACGGTTTAGTTCTCATCAAATTAATGGAATTTTTATCATATCAATAATAAATTATTTTATTGATTAATAAAACCGAGGTTATAACTGAGTTTCATTGGTTTCCATACAATAATGATACAATCAATTAAATTGAACTCGTTCAGTTATTTTGAAATTTAGTAGATAGTTAACTGAAAAATAACATATTATTTAAAGTTTAAAAATTCCGACATTACCCAAAATCAATATAAAAATTGCGGGGTACTTTTCTCGGTGTGTATTGAATTATATTTATCGCATTCATTATTTAAACATTTGCTTTATAATGTGTCCCATATTTCACTCAACCACTTTGTATTTTTGTACCTTATTTTATCTATTTATACTATTTTTTAATTAACTTTGTTGCCAACTATACTATGTTTGACTTTTTGTCATTATGTTGGTAATTATATAATATATTGCGAAGTTCCACTATACTTCTAGGCCTGATGATGATCATTGCCCAAAATTAGTTGCCTTACCAAATAGGTAAAAACATTCTATTTTTCGATTGTGACATAGACTTTGTGTTTTTTCGCTTCTTCATTTTTTAATAATTTTCAAGGGTCGCTTACCTTAAAAATTTCCAAACTATGTTAAAAATATGCAGAAAATTTTAATGAAAAATATTCACCCAAAATAATAAGTCCAGAAATGTAATGTGCGAGAAGCATTTTAAGCTCGATTATATCATTAAAAATATGAAAACCAATGGAAGTTAGTTTCAATATCTACTAAAGTAATTTAATACTGATATGATTAGGATTCCAATAATGTGTTGAAAATTAAACCGTTTCTGTTATTAAATGGATATTATCAAGGGTAATACCATAAAACATTTTGTTGGTTTCCTGGAAATTTGCATAAGTTCTAAGGAAACAACAAAATTCCCATTTCAACTCAAAATAAACTGTGTCACTGCATGGTGCATGGTCAAAATAGAATTTGAAAAAATAGCGCTGGTACCAAATAGACCAGGACAAAATCTTTCTATAACTAACGAGCTGAATAGGCACGTAGAGAAAATAGCGACTAGAAGAAAAATCGGTGGACTCATTAGTACTAAATAGTAAATAGCGACAAATAGTACTCTTTAATTTAAAAAAATATAATCAAAAAAAAAAAAATTAATTTATCTAACCTTTGCGGCCTTAAGACATCGCGGATTCAAAAATTACACATAAATTGAGAATAAAAAAAAAACTTAAAGAATTAACCTAGCTTAAAGCAGTAAAAGATGCTTTTAATTATTGGATTTATGCACTTTATAGCTCAGAAAGTTTGTGAAATATTTTTGACCGTGTCATACTAAAAATAAATTTAATTTAATACTTATTTATATTAATTGTTTGAACATGACAATATAAGATATTTTTGATTTATTATGCGTGCTATCTTTATTTATAATATAGTACAAATATTTAGGTATTTAAATTAGTTTATACAAGATTTATTAACCATTGTACTGTATTTAATAAAATACCTAAAAAATTCATTACAAATGAATTTTTTAGGTTGTTTTTTACAATTGTGACTTAATACATTTATTATGTGACTTTTTATAACTACTTATTACGAGTTTACGAGTGATGAATAATAATAATTATTCAGTACTTAGTTAAATAAAGCACAAATATTATAAAAATATTTTGTTTGGAATAATCGTCGATGTTTCGACGTCTACAGATAATCGTTGATTTAACAAAATGGTTGTTCCCACCTCATAGAGACTGAGGCTCCTTTAAGTCTGTTCTCAAATATTTGGTCCATTTATCCCTTAAGCCTGCACATGTAAAAATATTCGGGTCTTTGCCCCTTAAGCCGGTCGGATGTAAAAAAAATATAGCCGTCTACCACTTATGCTTGTACATATAAATAAAATTTCTATTCTTACATAATGCTTTTTACGACATTTATTACGTAATATATTATTATCAATAAATCTGAAAATATTTTTTGAACCCTTAATTTTTTTGATCCTAATATTACAATCATATACCAGATTCATTCTGGAATTCGTTAAAACTCGTGCAAAAATTATCTTTACATCACCATCTTATTCGCGTGAGATTCACATTTATTTTACATTTAAACAATTATTTTTACTTATCTATCACTGTCACACTATATAACCACTTATTTCCTTTAAAAAACATTTAAAGAGCTTCAAATAATTTATTTGACTTTTAAAAATGATAGCAATTTAAAAAATTGTATGTGGTTACACAGTTGAGAAGCATGGCTTTCTAGTAAAATCGTGAAATCAGTACCCGTGTCGTAGTATATAAAAGTCAATAAGAAATACATGGTATTTTATAAACACTGGTATTTTAATATTTAAAGCACAAATGTTAAAGTGAAAACTAAAAACCGATAGGGATTTCGATTTAAAGAAATTATAAAGTAAAAATCACAAGTCGTTTCGGCCCACTTACATACATACATACGCACAGACGCCCATACAAACATTTTTTTTATATTTTCGTATTTAGACTGATCGGAAACGTAGATAAAAGTGGGGGTAAGAAAATGTTTTTGTCGATACTAATGCATTACTGAGTATTCCAGCATGGATTTCGCATGACATATTCTATCAACACTGCTGTTATCTCGTTTTATTTGAAGATAATTGAATCATTTGAACACAGCTACAGCCTTGCAGGAATCTTCTGTGATCTCAACAGGGCGTTCGACTGTGTTGAACATGATATTCTTCTGCATGAACTATACTCCTATGAATTAAGAGGTATTCAAAATAAATGATTTCAGTGTTATATGGAAGATCGGCTTCAATTAGTTAAAACTAATCATTCAAGCAATCATTTTTTTATAGAAATTGATTAACAAAGTGGGGGTACCTCAGGGATCGGTGTTGGACCTTATATTGTTTATTATTTATATACATGAACTAAGCTACTTTCTGAGGCATTCACAATACTATATGGAGATGACTCAACCTTTCTTTTATTCTTATTAGAAGAAATAATAGAAAATAAAATAGATATTACTCTAAACACGTTTTTTGAATGGTCTAGTAAGCAATCTCTACTATTTAATTTTCTAAAACAAATTACATGTGTGCATCCATACTTTCTGAATGGTCCGGTAATTAATCTGTACTATTTACATTTCTAAAACAAATTATATGTGTGCTTATCTATACTAATTATAACACAGTCTCCTTCTTTAAATGTCAATGCAAATAATACACAATTAAATAAGGTTGAAAATATATCATCTTTATAACACATGCTTTCAATTTAGAAATCTCAAAGTTGTTCTAACATCAATTAACATCAACATCAGTTTTATTTTGAGCATGGAGCGTGTCATCACACGCTGAAAAAGTATTTTTCCTACGACCACTTAGAAAAGTGACACATATCACACTATATAGTCCTATGGAAAGTGCCCTATATCACACGCGTATGAATAAGAATTTACTTTCCACCCGTGTACGACTATGCTACTTTCCGCATCAGCTGTAACAAGATGTCAAACGCTTCATTTCTATTTTGATCTATGTAATGTCCATATTAATACTAAAATCGATATGATTGTTAAATTATTGAAATTGTTGTAAATTAGATCCTAGATATTTATCTTAACAATTATTAAAATAATTTTAAAATAACTAAGTTATGTTTGCTTTTTATTCTGGTTAAACACATAACCGATTAGATCATTCAATTCACGCAAGCCTTATTAGCTCAGATGGTTAGAGTATCAAACTTTATCAACTTTGCCATTTGAGACCTGGCGAGCGACCGCGTTCAAATCCTTGCTATGACAGAATTTTTTTTTTTTTTATTTTTTTTTATTTTTTGTTTGTTTTTTGTTTAGAAAATATGAAAATTGAATAAATACGATTATTGTTATTTATTTATTTAAATACATTTTAATTATTATAATAATAACCTGGTTTTACATTTTGTGATGAAATTATTTTGTAGTTGTAGAAAAAATATTGTACATCACTTGTGTGAAAAGTGATTTTCCACACTCGCAATGTAATATAATATATAACAAAAAAGCTTATGCTTCTCCAAGAGATTCATGTCAACCTCTATTGATACAATTTAAAATTCTTACCCTCTATGCTTGGTATATCATTGAACTCCTAAAACATACTTATTAAAAATGATATTCCGATGAATTTAGAAGCTCCTCCTTTTTGAAGTTGGTTAAAATATCACTCAAATTTCATACAATTCGAGAAATAAAACGATTATTTATAAACTATTTACACATCTCAATATTTCTACTAAACCACCAACAATAACTAGAGTTAAGCTCTTTAATATACTTTCTAAGTAAATAATGTACAAAAATTAGAAACATTTAAATCCCTTATCAAAATATAATAAAAAAAAATTGCGATTCTTGTGAATGATCGATAAATAATGTAAATTTAGTAGAATTGCGTTTATACCCGTATTTACAAAGAAACCGTAAAATTTAGTAAATTTTAACCAAATTACTTAAAAATCAATTACAAATGTACGTTTGAGTGATGAATCCATGTGAATGGTCTGGGATTCAAAACTCGGATGATTTTTCTATGATTTTTATCATTTAACTTAAATTTTATATACATATTTTTTTGTAGTTGATATATCCACAGAGGGACCAGTAGATGAAGTAACTGAACTGAATCAAAATACTGTAACTGAACAAAATAGCAATAATAATAATGAAGACAATCAGGGCGCTAATAATAATATAGACGCAAGTACAGATGGATCTGTAACCGAAGAAAATACAGGAAATGGTATGAGTTATTTTTTTAAATGTTTAAAATTTAAAAACAAAAATATTTATATTTTATTGAGTTTAGATTATTTTTAATATATTTAACCATTTCCCTCAGATTGTGTTTTTACATACATTTTTATTTCCTTTTTTAACTTAAAATTCTAATGTTCCTAAAAATAGTGATTATTAAATTTTTAGAAACCAAACATTTTTAAATATTGAATTTTTAAATTCCCATATAAATATATAACTGACATAATTGCCTCTTCGTTAATTCGTTTTAATGTTAAATTTTACAGGTGGTGTTCAAACTGATGTTCCTTCTGGAGATAACCAAGTAAATGGTGATAATGGAGGATCGGGATCTGGACCAATTGAAAATGCTGAAAATAGCGGTTCAGGTAACAGCCAAGGCAATGCTGGTTCTAACAATGGCAACGCCAACAACAATAATGCAAATGAAGCTCCAAATAATGAAGGATCTGGCAATGGAAATGTTGATAACCAAGGAAGCGCCAGTAACAATGTAGATGTAGTAGGAAATAATGATGGATCTAATAATGGTCAAAATGATAATGCAAATAATGGAGAAAACAACGTAAATGTTGATAATGGTTCAGAAACTAACCAAGACAATGGTGCCTCAGGTAGTGGAAATTCTAATACCCAAGGAAACACCGGTAACAATGACGCGGCTGCAGTAGGAAATAACGATGCATCTAACAATGTTCAAAACGAAAACGCTAATAATGGAGGCAACAACGTAAATGTTGATAATGGTTCAGAAAATAACCAAAATAATGGAGCTTCTGGTAGTGAAAATTCTAATACCCAAGGAAACACCGGTAACAATGATGCAGCTGAAGTAGGAAATAACGATGTATCTAACAATGGTCAAAACGATAACGCCAATAATGGAGACAACAACGTAAATGTTGATAATGGTTCAGAAACTAACCAAGATAATGGCGCCTCTGGCAGTGGAAATTCTAACAACCAAGGAAACACCGGTAACAATGAAGCTGCTGCAGTAGTAGATAACGATGCATCTAATAATAGTCAAAACGGTAACGCTAATAATGGAGACAACAACGTAAATATTGACAATGGTGCAGAAACTAACCAAGCTAACGGTGCCTCTGATAGTGGAAATTCCAATAACGAAGGAAACACCGGTAACAATGATGCAGCTGAAGTAGGAAATAACGATGCATCTAACAATGGTCAAAACGATAACGCTAATAATGGAGACAACAACGTAAATGTTGATAATGGTTCAGAAAATAAACAAGATAGTGGAAACGGACAAAGTGATAACACAGATGATAATAATATTTCCAATACATCAAACGAGGATAATGATATTGAAGAAAATAATGATAATACCAATGAAATTGTGGACACTGTAGAAGAAACCGATAAGAATTCCAATGAAAAAGATGAGGACGCTAACGAAATTGTAGACACTAAAGAAGAAACCGATAAAAATTCTAATGAAAAAGCTGACAATATTAACGAAAATGATAAAAACAACGAAAACAACAGTAACGAAAACGAAAACAATTCCAATGAAGATAAAAACAACGAGAACGAAAACAATTCCAATGAAGATAAAAACAACGAGAACGAAAACAATTCCAATGAAGATAAAAACAACTCCAATAATCAAGATGATAATAACACCAAGGAAACTGTGGACACAAAAGAAGAAACCGATAAAAATTCCAATGAAAAAGATGAAGATACTAATGAAGAAAATGACGATCAGAAATCATCAGAAAAAAGTTCTAAAGAGGAATTAGAAAATGCCAAACAACAATGGTTAAATATTTTAAAACAGATAATAGCACGAAGACAGGCACATATTGGTAAGTTTATCTATTATAAAATATGACCATTATTAGCATTTTATACACGGTGTGCAATAAGTATACAGCAAAAATTTCGGATATCGAAAACGAAATAACGTAATTGTAATACTACTTTTAAAGACAACGTAAACTTGGCAGCAATGTTCAATCAGAATATTGCATTACTGTCAATAACGCTTAGAATGTGAACTCGTATCCTACCTATCCTGGTTATGTATCTATGGTTAGTACTCTTTCTGAATGTTTTTATTGTTCAATAATTCTGATGGACGAGATTCTTACTAGTTCTACTAGTAAAATAGATTATTCGATAAAAACGTTACATTTATCCATAACCGATATCAGCAGTTTTTATACATAAAAAGGTTTGAGGGACTCTTACTTTAACAATAACAATATGCCAAGATTAGGACTGAATGTATCGGACTAGTCCACCTCCGATTTTCAAAAGAATAAAATTATTAAGTTTGTTTTAAAAATTTTTACTTTGTAAGTCACATAAATTTCAAAAACCTTTAAGACCGAATATTATCGAAAAATACACATTATTGGATACTATAGTATTATTTTACCTCAGAGTACTAAATCTTAAATCTTTTTTCCTATACTTATGGAACACCGTGTATATTTGTCGGCTTTAATTTGATTTCTATTTAATTTAGGGAATTGTTTATTTTACAGATAATTTGCTATCCAAGAAGGGAATAAAAGTAAGCTGCGACCAACAAATCTGCAGACTTACATGTGTTGTAAATGGTAAACATTCCGGATACTGCAGAAGAAATAGCTGTAACTGCGTATAAAACTGTAATTAATACTTTCAAATGTTTTAAATGGTTAAAGAAATAAATGTTTATAAAGAAGTTACCTGCTTTTTCGTTATTTGAAACCATTAAGACCATTAAGATTTTCTGAATCCCACTAATAGAAATAAAATAAGAACAATTTGTGTAATATGCAGACCTACTATTTATTTAACTTTTAAAGATACAGCTTCTATGTAAAACCTGTAGTAACTTTTTTAAAAAGCTCTTCAATATTTACCAACATAAGCTAGTTTTTCCCTTCATCAGAAATTAAAGCCCTTAAAAGTGTAATTGCTGACGCAGCTTTTTGAATTACCTGTCAAAAATCAAAAGTTGTTTTAAATAATTAATAAGGACCGATCTTTTCACCTCTGAGTAAAGTTACATGTAGGTTTACTTGACAGATTAACAAACAATAATCCTATAGTTTAATCAGCAAGTAGTTTTTAACTTTACTCAGAGGTAAAAAACTGGCCATTAGAATAATAAACATAGACAATAATAAGGTCAATCTTAAATATAATAGATATTTGTGTATCAAGGGCACAAAACAGGCGTTTATGGACAGCAAGGTCCATAAGCGCTGATTTCGCCCAAAATACATACAACATTTTATGCACGACCCTTTTAATAATAATTTATTAACAAATATATAACATTTTATGTACGACCGTTTTAATGATCGTTTATTAATAAATATTGTTTTACCGGCGGGTAGTAAAGTAGTTCGCGGGCGGTAAAGTAGTCCGCGGGCGTTAAGGGGGCACTTTACGCCCGCTAAACGTATTTATAATCTGGACTTTATCGCCGGGTCGTGCATAAATAAACTGCTGGCCACTTGAACTTACACATAGAGATTTTTAGGCAAAATTTAAAGTTTAATATTTATAACAGGAATGAAAATTTTGGAACGCGGCTTGCAGATTTTAAGAGCTAGTTTTTTTCGTATTAAGCTGCATTACGTATATTTATCGTAGGACCATAGGTTTATTATATACGGGGTGATCAATGAAGTCATGTAAAAAATCAAAAAGTTTGTATGAGTGAAATTTCCGCAAAAAATTTTTTTGGTCGTTGCAATATGGTTTGTTACTAAGGTAACATCAATATCTGTAGATAATTTTGTCAGTTTTTGGATTAAGGCCTTAAGGTCTTGTACACACTACTAAACATAAAATTTGGGTAGCATTGGATTAAAGGTTCTTGATGATGTTAGCGGATTTGGAATCCTTATTTCACGTAGATTTTCTGTGGTTTAAGCATTATATTGGAGGGATGAAATTTACACATTATACCGGGTCGATTATAGACAAAAACGCAACGACAAGAACAAGTTTATTACATTATATTCTACAATATACAAGATTGGTTACCAACGGCCAAAAGTCAATTCTTACAAAATTTCTAATTCTAAACCTAATTTAAAGGTTTCTGCAATCCCTAAAAAAACACGGTGTACTGTAATAACAAAGATTAGGTATGTATGGATAGAGATACCTAGTGGTAATTGGTATTGGTAATTTTTAATAAATAAAAAAAAATGGTCTGAAAAACATAAATTGTTCATTAATTTTTGTTTTGAATCCACTGCATCAAAGATGGGAAATGCAACGTTGCATTTTCGAAGTTTACAATGAAATTGAGTTATTGTTGAAAATAGCGTGTTAAAAGGACGAGGTCACTGAAAGCAACCGGCAAATATCAATGGAAAAATGCCAAATGTCCTATCTTTAAATATCTAATCTTTGGTAATAATTTATCTGAAATTAAGTAGGTACATTAATTAAAAAAAAAGAGAAACTAATATTTTCTTGGTCCTCCTGCTCGACGTATTACTTCCCGACATCGATTTAGTAGAGTATCTACAAGATTATTTATAAAATCTTGTGGAATATTCTCCCATTCTTCACGAATGGCCTCACTAAGCGTTTCTAAGGTTAACTTTTACTTTAAGTTTTAAATAAGACCAAACGAGTTAGATGACATTAAGTTCCGGAGACTTTGTAGGCCAGTCAATCCTATTGATGTTCTATGGCTGCACAATCTTTGTGATCCTTCGCGCTGTGAGGTCGAGCGGTGTCTTCCACAAATAGAAATTCTGGGCCGTAATTTCGAGCAAAAGGAACAACAATAGGTTCCAAAATTTCCTCCTGATAAACAGTAACGTTGGTTTGGTTGGTAATAGATAGCTCGGTCTTACCATTTCTTATGGTACCTCCCCACACTGTAACACCTCCACCACCAAATGCCTCTTGAGGGGTAATATTTGCCATCAAATACCGCTGATTTGCCCTCTCCAAATTAATACTTGGCCATCGGAGTGAATCAAATTAAATCTTGTTTCGTCAATAGATAAACAATGGCTCCACTTTGCTTTACCCCAATTCGCATGCCGATTTGCCCATGTCCGCCTATTCGCTCTATGGTGTTGTAATAACCGCAAACATTTTGCTCTGCGACGGGCTCTATGATTTAAAATGTTGTTGAAAAAAAAAAAATTCTTACCCCAAGTTGTTTGTATTTAATGTTCTTCTCACTGTTCTGTCCGAAACTCTCACCTTAAAGGGTCATTTAGTTTTCTAGAGTTCTTTGTTCTATTCTGCTTAGTTTCTCTAATTAAAATTATTTCGGTTCTTTGGTTTATTTCTTTTGTATGTCCACCCCCATGCCCATAATTATGATCACCAATAGTTTCGACGCGACGGTTCAAATTATAAATTGTCTTTCGGCTGACATTGTAAATGGTCGCAATTTGCTTTTTTGACATTTCTTCGTTGATAAGTCGAATGCAACTTTCCCTTTCTGTCGTGGTTAAACGCCTCATATTAATTAAAATTTACAAAATTATAACATTGAAATATGTCAGATTATTTCTAAAATAATGTTAACAGTTTTTAATTCCATACCGACAATTTTTTTTCCAATGCCTATTTTGAAATTGACGTGTGCGTAGAAATTACAGCCGATCATAAATATGGGCATGGGGAGGACAAAAATTTTTGTAAAACTGAATGACTCTTTGAGACAACAAACTAGGGTGAGAGTTTTGGACAGAACAATGAAAAGGACATTAAATAAAAACTACTTGAGGCGAGAATGTATTTTTACAAAAACTTAAATAATGCCAAACCTTAGAGCGCATCGTACACTACGTTTTTGTCTATTATAGACGCAGTGTAATGTGTAAATTACAGACCTTAAATAAAATGTTTAGACCACAGAAAATCTACGTGAAATAAGGATTCCAAAACTGCAAAAATCATCAAGAACCGTCAATCCAATGTCATTTTAAAAATGTTGCTACCCAAATTTTATGTTTAGTAGTGTGTACAAGACCTAAGGGCCTTAATCCAAAAACTGACAAAAACGTCTAGAGATATTAATGTTACCTTAGTAACGAACCATATTGCAACGACCAAAAAAGTTTTTTGCGAAAATTTCACTCACACAAACTTTTTGATTTTTTGCATGGCTTCATTTATCACCCCATATATAATAAACCTATGGTCCTACAATAAATATACGTCATGCATCTTAATCCGAAAAAACGGGCTCTTAAAATCTGCAAGCCGCGTTCAAAAATTTGCAATATTATTAAAAATATTGAACTTTAAACTTTGCCTAAAAATCTCTATGTGTAAGTTCGAGTGGCCCAGCAGTTAATATAAATAATAGGGGCATATGTAAATCGAAGACCATTAACCCCTTACCGTTAAATAACCTTAAAAAGGTCAATGTAAATTAAGGACCCTATTAAAATTTGGGTCAATGTGTGATTGGCGCTGCACTGAAGAATAATTTTTCGATGGGAGGATCTTTTAAATACTGCATATCTTGTAGAAAATGCATTTTAAAGCATTATTTATATAAAATTGTCTAGTAGTCAGAAGTGTAATTTTTGAATACTATGAAACGAAGTATTTTGAGATGCCTTTAATATTTAGTATTGAGGAATATGCAAATATTTTTTTTGTGTATTGTTTTTGTATATTGGAAATGGTAGAGTCGAAGTACAAAAGTATTGCAGAGGCTTTACTAATCGCCGTTTACCAATTTATAAGATATTTTCGCAGATTTTTCAGTTTAGCAAAAAACATGGAAAGTTTCTAAATATAGCTAAACATGAACATACTTTGAAGAATTAGTAATGAATTTGCAGTTCCGAAAACAAGAATATGGAGGACTTTAAAAAAGGAAAGTTCGAATTTATTTCATATACAAAAAGCACAGTGAATTCAAGATGGATACGACGTCCCCCGCTTAAATTTTTGTAGGACTTTGGCCCACAGAAGAACAATATCGAGGATTCTATTTACAGATGAAGCTCAAACTCACGTGATGGGGACAATAAAACTAGGATTGGGCATATTTGGAAAGTTGAAAATCCACATAGAGTGATATAAAGACATTCCCAATATGTGCGGAGTTTATAAAAATTACCTAATAAGCTCCTATATTACTTTCCTATCTATTCTGTATACAGATATAAGGAAAGTATAGGAATCATGATTGTTTTGACCTCGAGTTTTCGACGGATTTTTACGTTTTGAGGTCCCCTGAATCCGTTTTGACTATTTTCGCGATGATGTCTGTGTGGGTGTCTGTGTGTGTGTATCTGTGTGGGTGTGTGTCCATGATACTATTACTCGAGAAGATAAACCCACGCGCATGCGACCAGCCCATCTCTCTCGCACGCCTGACGTCACTGGGAGACTACCCGACTCAGCAACAGCCAGTTCTATACGGCGCAAAGCAGTTTTGCGTGTATTTTAAAATTTGTTTATTAAATAGGGATATGAAAAATCTAAAGTGAGAAAGAGAGAAATGACAAAAATTGTAAAATAAATTAAAAGTGTAAATTTGTAAATATTTGTCCTATAAAAATTAAGTACTTAATAAGTTGTTTATCATTTAAAAAAATTTACCGCCTTCCAAAAGTCCCAAAAAAATACTGCTGCAAATTAAATCAATACTTGCAAATTTCTGTTGCTGTTTAACTTTTAACGATTTATCACTTGTTTATCCAAACATTTTCAATTTTTACTCCTCCTTTTTTACATTTATCCGTAATTTTTATAAACATATTAAATTAATTGTAAAATGAAAATGTATATACTTTAAAAGCTCTAAAATAAGATTTAACTTGAATTTTTTCCAAATATTTTGAATTTTTACCCTTTCCCCTTTTTACCCCTACCTGTAATTTTTTTATTAAATCACTAAACGAATTTTAAAATTAATACAGTACGAGACAACTCGATTTTTTAAATATTTTAAATTTTTACCCCTCCCCTTTTTACTCTTTTTCTAATTATCTATTAAAATGTTAAACGGATAATAAAATCAAAATGTCCATAGCCAAAAACCTATATAACGACATATCACTTGATTTTTTACGAAAAATTGCAATTTTTTATTATTTTCCCAGACATTTCACCCCCTTCCCCTTTACAAATTTTAATAAAAAATATTCCAATTCGATCCCTAATGGAATAATACCTATCTATAGCGCAATTCCTTTAAAAGTTATGGTGAATACCGATAGACAGAATTTTTTTTTTGCTCAAAATACTTTTTTTACACGTTTTGGGAAATTTTAAGATGATTAGGCAAGCCAAAAAATTCTTAATTTAATAATATATCAATTTTATAAAAATAATATATCGATATTATAATAAATAAACAAACATAAAATATTGATTAAAACCGCTCTAGCGTAATGCTTTTCCATGACCACGAGCTGGATTGTTGTCATCGGGTGACGTCATGCGCAAACGTGGTCGAAATTGGATCGTCAAGTGGGCTTATCTTCTCAAGTAATAGTAATAGTATCATGGTGTGTGTCAGTGCGTGTGTCTGTGTGTCTGTATGTCGCATAACTCATGAACTGATACACAGAAAAACACCAAATTTTAAACTTAAGCTTTATTCCAGCGTCTAATGAACAGATTAGATTTTGGGCAGAGTCGGAACATCTGGGAGGGGTACTTTATAGGTGATCATTTTTATATTTTATAGAATATATCTGTTATTTACGTTTGGAGAAGAAAATTCTTTAAATAAAAGTTACTTCTAATATAATTATCTATAATTTTTGTTCTATACAAAATTTTCCTAAAATGGTCCGTATTCGAGAAATTTTACAAAATGTAAAAAAAATTATTTTTTATAAAAATTGTTCAAATAAAATTTGTTTGTAATCTCTATAATTTTTATTCTTTAAATAATTTCTCTAAAATGGACCGTATTCGAGATATTTGAGAAAATGTGTAAATTTCGAATTTTGAAGAAAACTCAAAAACGGATAAAGAAAAAAACATTAAATTTTAAACTTAAGGTTTATTTCGGCCTGACGTGAAATGATTAGATTTTGGACAAAGTCGGAACATCCGGGGGAGTCCTTTATGGGAGGCCGTTTTCATGGAATATATCTGTTATTTATGTTTGGAGAAGAAAATTGTTCAAATAAAAGTTACTTCTAATATTATGATCTATAATTTTTGCTTTATGTCAAAATTTCCTGAAATGGTCCGTATTCGAGAAATTTTACAAAATGTGCAAAATTCTGATTTTTATGAAAATTGTTGAACTAAAAGTTATTTGCGATATCGATCTTTATAATTTTTGTTTATACATGATTTTTCTAAAATGGACCGTAACGGAAAAGTGCTAAATTTAAATTTTTCAGTATTTTCGTTTTCAATGAATATCTATAGAAAAATGTTTCGAGGTAGATGTATGTGGACAATGTATATATTTAGTTTATCCTAGATGCTGCAATAGGTTGTACAAAATAACCGGGAAAAGCCTATAATAACTAGATAGGAAAGTCATGTGTTGGACACATCAGATTTTTTTAAAGGAAGATTGACTGCTGAAGTATATTTAAATTTTCTGAGAGATATTCTGCAAAATTTTTTAGAAGGGACTAATACCAGATGTGGTTTGAAAATTATGTTGCTGGATCCCATTTTTCTATATCAGTTAGAGATTATTTAAATCAAGTGGCCACCGAGAACTCCAGATCTTAAATCAGAGGTGTACAACAAGGTAATTAATAACCGAATACAATTAATGGACAACATTTTTAATGCATGCGACAACATTAGAAATAACCCAGTAAAAATCCTTTAAGACATTCTCAGCAGATTATTGACGCAAAAAGTATTCATTTTATTAATCTACTCTAATAATTGTACCTACGCTTTTGTTAGTTAGTTTGTTCTGTACATATCTATTAAATAAAAAATTATATAATGTTTATAACATCAAGACGAACCCGATGCTTTACAGATAATTAATTTCGAATTAAATGGTACACTAGATCAAAAAATAAAGAAAGGTTTCTAATTATTTAAGGTACAGATAAGTATTTTCATTGTAATATTGTAAGGGTATATATTAATAATTTTGAAGTAGATATTTTAAAAAAGTATTTTAAGTCCATCAAATATAATTACTTTATTTTAATATTGGTCCATGCACTATTTAAATGTTAATTAACACTTTGTAAAAATGTCGTACAGGGTGATATTTTAGAGAAGAAAAACAATATGAAAAAAAGGTAGTCAGGTCGTGGAATTTTTCAAAATTAAAATATGGCTTTGTTTAACCTAAGAGAGTATAACTTTTATACAAAATTTTATAAAGAAATCTGTAGCTGTTCAAAAAATGGGCAACTATAATTTTGGTGGAATTTGGTTAAATGGGGGCGTTCTGAACTCGGATAAGTGTTCTCTACTTTCCATTAAACTATCTGGGACATCCTTTACCTATATCCTTTACCTATATCCTTTTATTTTGTTTTCGTTGAGCTCATAAGCTCTGTGAAGCTGGCCCCCGAAATTCGAAATTTTAGTTTTAGAAGCTGTTTGACCACCTATTGACCATGTTTGACCACCCACCAACTTTTTTTGACCACCCTCAGAAACCTAAATATTTAAGAAAATAATAAACGCCTAGTGTCCGGTTAATATTATTTAAAACTGACTTCACCAATTTTTGACCTTGTTTAACCATTCATTAGATTTTCTTTTAACAGCCCTTAAAATAATTTAAAGGGGTAAATTGTAGAAAAACAAGAGTTCTGGGACGAATTTTAACTTTGAAAAAATGATCAATCGTCAGAAAGGCACAATAATAACGATCCTACTTTAGGGGTTAAAAATTCAAAGAAAATATTTTCCAATTTAATATCTAGTTCAACAAAATGGTTAATCGACATAAGAACACAATAAAGGTCCACAATGGTTTAATATTATGTTTTGACGTTTGATTACTCCTTAAAATAATTTTTATGTTTCTAACTAGTGTGAAAATTCGAAAAATATAATTAGGAAATAGAATTTTGACTTGTAAAAATTGTCAAACAATATAAGTGCACAATAAAGGTCCATACTTGTTTAGAATCATGTTTTGACGTTTGACTACCCGCAAAAATAATTTTAATGTGCCCAAGTAATGTAAAAAATAAAATTTGAACATTTATTGTGCACTTATGTCGTTTGGCCAAGTCGAAACGATTTCCTGCTTTTATTTTTCAAATTTTTACACGCCTTGGGCACATTAGAATTATTTTAAGGGGTGGTCAAAAGTCAAAACATAATTTTAAACTGTTATGGATCTTTATTGCGTCCTTATGCCGATTAACCATTTTGTTGAACTAGAAATTAGATTGGGAAATATTTTTATTTTAAATAAAAAAATATTTAGATTTCTGAGGGTGGTCAACGAAAGTTGATGGGTGGTTGAACATGTTCAATAGGTGGCCAAATGCATGCCACAAATTTTTGAATTCGGGGGCCAGCTTCACAGAGCTGAGTTAATAGCGTGTCCTGACATATTTGTTTCTAATTTTTTACTTCACCAAAGTTCTGCATTTTAATATACGTGTAAGTATAAATATTGTAGAGAGACAGGTGATGAGTGCAATTAGAATATACTATTTAATCGTAAGTGAAAACTTTCTTTTATTGTGAGTTCCATTAAAGAATTCTGTGCTGCCCATACACTTAAAAAGAACTGTAGAATCTTTAAAAACTAGATAATTTTGACCGCATTAACCCAAAAAATTTACATGATTATTTATATTTAATACTAAATATTTCTACTATATTATGTTGTTAGGAGACCATAGATTTATTAAAAACTACGAGTCATCAAAACATTTATCTAAATCATCGTATTTTAATAAAATTAGTAATATATGTATATTAATTTATTTCACACATAAGCGGCATTAATCTTCCGGTACATAATTGGTCTTCAATTTATTTATATGCTAGTTTAGGATGTGATGGTCCTCAATTTATCTATGAAAAATGACAATGGTCTTTAATTTACATATATTTACTTATGGTTAGCAATCAAGCTGTAAGTGTAAAAAGAGGCAGTTCGGTACTTACGGATACCAAAACTTCATTATCAACATCTGCCATTCCACCAGCATTAATAACAATGCCTTTATTTGTATTCATCATCATGTATATTAGAGCTTTTTTGATTCTAACTCTAAATAGGTACCATTCAGAATCACAGATGGAGTCAATAACAGAGAGACTCTGAAATTCGAAAGCACATTTTTAAAGTTAAAGAAGAAGCGAATTTCCTACAAAATTATTAAATTTATCCCTGAATCCGCAAGTTATATGAAAATTTGAAAAAGACCATATGCCCCGAGCTGAGATCGAATAATCCATACCTGGATTTGTATTCCAGAGCCTTGACCATTCTTCTATCAGAACAGCAAGTGTTTTGAGTATAGGAACAGAAAAAATTAACTGGTTGCTAGGGGACGTCCACAGAAACTTAAACATGAAATGGACTGTAAAATAGACCAACAGGGATTTTCATTACCAGACAGTGCAGACTACGAATTTACTCAGATAGTACAAGAACAATCTGGTCACCTTAAGATGGATCAAAGGTCACGCCACATCAAAATGTAACCATCTTGTCTATTTACTAGTATCCAACCAAATTCTTTTTGACCTGGCTCTTCTATTGGATTGACAACATCGGTAGTGACAAACCTGATCAAAGAACATTCTTTTATAAAATTTAAGAAAAAGTGGAAAGAAACAAGAAGCTGTGGAGTGACTAGGGAGCTTCTGTATCTGTATCTGTAACGTGTGGAGGGTGGGTTACCCTCACGGCACTAAGGCCTCATTAGGCCCATTGTTCATCCTCCTAAGATGACAGGCACCTCCTAGCTCGTAAGCCAGCCTGCAGATTAAATGTAGTTGCCGGTGTTAGCCCATACTCGCCGAATACAAATCTTCTAATAAATGAGAGCGTCAAGCAATCGTAAAGGATATGCTCGATGGTCTCATCTTCTTGTTCGCACCCTCTGCAGAGTGCGGATTCTGACAGCCCCATGATATGGAGATGCTTCCGTACTTGGCAATGACCAGTCAGAATGCCTGTGACTAGGCGCAGATTCTGTCTAGTCATAGTCAAGTATTTGTTTGCTGCAGTGTTGTCAGGATAACTTAAGAGCTCCTTGGCAACTCTGCAGTTTCTTGTTTAATTCCATTTTTCCTTGAATTTCACAAGGTGATGTTCTTTAATTAGGTCTGTCACTACCGATTTTGTCAGGCCAATAGAAGGGCCAGGTCCAAAAAATATTTGGTTGGCTGCTTTCTTGGCTAGTGAATCAGCAAGACGGTTACCTTTCGATGTGGCGTGACCTTTGATTTGTCTTAAGGTGACCACATTGTTGATGGATACTTCGGCCAAAGCTTCGTGACATTCTAGTACTAACTCTGAATAGACTAGGGAGCTTTTAAATATCCCTAATAACACCAAAGCAGACAAATACTTGACTATCACTAGAGAGAATCTGCGCCTAATGACATACATTCTGACTGCTCATTGTCAAGTATTAAAGCATCTCCATAACATGGGGCTGTCAGAACCCGCCATCTGCTGCAAACAAAATAATCAAACCTTTAAAAATTTAATATCAACCTGATTCGTTGACAGATACAAATCAAAATGAAATACAAACTTTTGACGCAAAGCATAAACGACATTTGAGTAAAGATGTTTGTGTCAAAATAACGAAAACGGTTCCAACCGTTACAAGGTTTACAATAATTGTTTAAATTACAGCAGACTTATAAGATACTAAGCTCATGATTAGTGGTAATAAAACTGGTTTATTTTATACAGTGTTTTGAATCGTCTTAAATATGGCTAACTTTAGGTTGAATTTACTCAATTTTTTTAAATGCAACACCCTGTACACTACCTTTGCCTCAAATTCCTCATAAATTTGCCTATACAACGATACCAATATGAATATGTAAGTCATTAACACATATACAGGGTGTTCCATCAGTGCGTAACTGATCGATAGCTGTTCTATTATTAGAAATACGAAGAAATTTTTAATTTAAAAGTTGTATGACCATATTTAACAAATATTACTAAATATACATGGTGGTCCATAAACGAGGTGCTGGCTGAATCTATACTGTTTTAAAGCAAAACACCCTGCAGGTAGTTATACATATTTGATTATTTTCACATCGTCAAACTTCATTAATTTGCTATGTTGTATATAGGGTGTGTCAAAACGTGAGGTTGCGATTTTCTCAATTTTTTAAATGAATTACCCGATTAATTGGTGTTTTAACATATAGGGTATTCCATTTAAATAATTGAAAAAATCATTATTTCTCATTTTGACATACCCTATTTACAACATAGCAAATAAATGAAGTCTACTAAAATCACTTTATATATTTAGGAATATTTATTAGACATGATCATATAACTTTTATATTATTTTTTTTTTGTATTTCCAATAATACAACAACTATCGATCAATTACGCACTGATGGGACACCCTATATATGGGTTATTAGCTAACATGTTGGTTGTAATGGGAAGCAGCTGTTAATTAGTTACAATTCATGTTTAATTACCTTTGTAAATCAATTTTACTTAATTTTGACTAGCTCTTAGATTTTTTATTCCAAACATTTACTTACCATAATTCAATAAAAAAAAAACAACAACAAATGAACAAATGAGACTATAGTTTTCTCTGTTGTGAATTCAGGCTTTTCTAATAGACACTTTTGTGGAAATATTTTTCAGGATAAAAGGGCGCCAGTAAGTATCTTTTTTATTTTTTAAAAAGCTAGTTGAGAATTATAAATGCTTTACCAAAAGTACAAAATTAACTGATTATTTCAGAATTATTTATAACTTCAGTAAAAAGAGAATTGTTGAAAAAATCAAAAATAAGATTCAATAAAAATATAAATAAATTTGTTAATTTTTAAATTGTGGAAATGCAATAAACTTTTACAAAATGAAATATACCAAAGTTTACATGGACATCGAAATTCAAATAAAATTAATTGTCAGATTTAGATATTATACTCTGACTTGGACCATCGTCCGATAGTTTTAGGATTTGGCCTGGGCGATTTAATAAGCGATAATTAGTTACACTGAACCTCATTTATCTCCTGTGGTAGTACTTCTGAGAAGATTCCAAATTTGACCCAACGAGCCACCCTCTTGATTACAAGATAGATAGCCTTTTTTGCACGGCTAATATTATCTTCCTAAACAAAAATACATTCTGGTTTTCACGAGGCCTTTATATGAGATATAAATCAAACTTTTAAATAATTATTTTTTAAAATTCCCAACAATTTTTTCAATTACATTAATAATTCATTGGTAATTGCAGCTCAGCTCATTTGTATTTACCGATGTGTTCATAAATAAACAATTGAGAAAATATTTAAACCCATCAACTGACCAAATCTACCACTTCGCGAAATTTCCCATTCTCAACAATGTTGCGTGCGGCAACAATTAAATTTTAAATAATTTTAATACTAATTCAATCCATTTATACAGGATGTCACCCATTCCATATAACATTTTTAAAAGGTGAATTTTAAAATGTTACATACTATCATTGGATAGGTAAATTTATATGGAATTTTAATTGAAAAAATTAAGTAAATTGAACTTAAAATTTGCCATATTTAGGACATGTTTCAAGACACTCTATATAAAATAAATCAGTTCCATCATCACTATTCGTTAGCTTAGTATCTTATAAGTTTGTACTTTAAACAATTTTGAAATTATTTTAAACCTACCTGAATTAAGATAATTTAATTTGGCTCTTGTGTCTGCTTGAAAATTATCGTATGAGCACATATCTGGCAATGGTGGATACTGATCCAGCTGTTAGTACCTTACAAGCGTCTCCCTTAGAAATAATCTCCTTGGGCTCAGTACAGCTTCTACATTGTCCGCTCATTTGTTCGGCCTAGGCGGTTACCCTCAACATTCTCTAAAAAAAGCGACCCGTTTTCGAAAGTAGTGATTGAAAAGTGAGTAGTTTTAAAATCTGTATTCTTTGTTAGGAGGTTGTGCTGAGTGTATTATTGCTCCTAACAGTTTTACCTCGACTAGTTCTGAACTTTAAAATAACGTCGGAGAGAGGGTCGTGGAATGAAAATAATAAGCGGTATTCCAGGAAACTGAGGTGGTTTAATGTCGGTTACTGTATATTTACAGCAATTAAAGCAATTTAAAGCAACTAGTGATAACTTGAATATAAAGAAATGCTTTAAAATTCATGCACAATATGATTATTATTCTTCCAATTGGTACCAATCGTTTACAGACTATAAATTATAATATTTACACATGTATCTTAAGAATAGAATAGCAGCCTTTTTAATTATAAAGCAAAATAAAATAATAGTATATACATGCAAAGCGTTCGGAGCACAATATTGGTACTTCCTTTGTAAATAAGCAAAGCCCAAAGCCTCAAGTTAGGTAACCGAAGAGTGAAGAAGAGTGTAGAATAAAGAGCGAAGAATGAAGAGAATATAAGCAGTATTAAGTTAAATAAGAACTGTCTTACTTGTGTCCCAGAGGTCCATGCAGAATGGTGGTGATAGTATACACCCTGAGGTGAATGTACCTTATGGAACCAATGCAGCGATTAGGTAAGCAGGTCTATCTTAGGTTAGTTTATTCCAATATAAAACAGTGTATGACCAATTTTTAGGTAACACATTACCAGCCCAAGATAAGGTGGCCTACAAGAGATAACATATAGTATAAATAAAAGCCCTAGACAAAACAAAATGGATGACAGAAGCCATAGATGACTTACCACGTGGTGTTGGTTGGCCTTTAAGATAATATAAGTAGGTAAGGAAATAAATTTACTAATCCACAGAATGTGATTTCAGACTTCTGAATCTATTTTATTTCCTTAGAGAGATGATTCATTTGCTTTGTTGAGTGCAAAAATCCGAAGTAATAGACGAAAATAATAGCACATGCTACAAGTTGCTAACCCAAAAGCAGAATGACCAGAAGCTTGAAGGACAAAACCAGGCTGACCACTGGTCAGTGATGGTATTCCTGTCATTTTAAATATTTGTCACTACTGAAACAGACCTTAACTAAAAGAAGAATTAGTTGGTGATCTAAACAGGCTTGTCAGTAGAGGCCTAACCGAAGAAGAAGAAGAAATAGAAAAAACTAGAAAGAAATGATTTGGAAT